CTGGTGAGTGTCCCCAGTCCGGCTGCCGTGCCCCAGGGCCGGTGCTGGGCACTGACTGCTCGCTCTTGTCCACAGCGTGAAAGTCTGGGACCTCCCACAGCAGGCAGTGCTGCACTCCTACGGAGGTGAGTGCCACACTGGCCCCACCACCCGGCTCCTCCTGGCCCTTTGCCGGTTCCTCCAGGCTGAGCCCAGTCCTGCAGCATCACTGGTTATCTCCCGTCTGCCAAACCATGCTCGGGGCTCTAATGTTTGCCAGTCTGTGAAGTTTCTGCCAGAGCCTTATTTCTTTGTCTGTTGTTCATTTTTCCCCACAAAATGAACGCTGTAAGGCTGTTTCCCTTGCATCTCTAAGCATGTTTCAGAGTATTTTTGCTCTGCTGAAATCTTCCACCTGCGCATGGTCGTGTGATCTAACCCGTTTGTGTTGAACAACAGCTCGTTGGAGATGCTGACCTCTGGAGATGTGGTATGGTGATTTCTAGCCACAGCAGAGGCCATACTTTGATCCTCTCCCCCTTCCGCCCCTTTGTAACTGCCCTCTTGTCTGGAGAGGCTCCCTCAAGCTTATGCACATCACAGGGACTTGAGTGCAGTAGCTCTGGTTGGATTTGGCATCAGTTTGGTAGGAAGCAGTTGGCTATTGCTGACTAGAAGTTAACCCTGTATCTGGGCATAAACTATCCTTTATCATACTGCTGTGCCTTCAGAGGTCCTTGGGAATATGCGGGAGAGTTGGATACAGTCTTTGAGGCTCTTTATCCTTTTGTGCTTTTGGTAGCTCACTCCGGTTCAGTGACATGTGTGGCTTCCTGTCCTGGTAAGGACACTGTGTTCCTGTCCTGTGCAGAGGTAAAGCTCGCTCTCTGTTTAATCTACCTGATAAAAGTGATATTTAACTTGAATTGTAAACAGTTAAACGCACCTTCAAGCTGCATACCTGTGTTATTTCAGTGTTCCAGTCTGATAAGTTGCCAGTCAGCCTACTGATCTGATTTCTGCAAGTTTGTATTAGAATGTGGGAGTTCCCAGCTCTGTCCTGGGGATGACTGAAGGAGCTACTTTGCAGTTAACAGCAGCATTATTTTAACACAAAGGAAGAGGTGGTGTGGGTTTGAATGTGGGTCAGTACCAGTTTTGCAGTGAAACCTGAGTTTATGCCTGCCACAAAGAAATTGTAAAAGCCTTCTTACTCACTTTGGATTTATAGGACAGCAGAACTTTACTCTGGGACACCAGATGCCCGAAACCAGCTACTCGAATCGGTATGTTTCTATATGCAGTCACTGTCTGTGTAGGAGTTTTTGTTGAAAGAAACAAACTACTTCATGTCTAACTTCACATCTAGCGATCTGATGGTTTGGGCAGAAACGCCTGTTAAAGCTAAGGAAGTCCAACACTACCACAGAAGCACAATAAGCTTCTAAATATTTGTCTTAGTGCAGCAGTGGTGCTGAGATGGTGTAGGAATATCCTTGTACCAACTCTTTTCATACTCATCCCAGTGTATTTACTTGCAGTTTGCAGTGCCTGTAATTACCTCCCTACCTCAGTCATGTGGCATCCACAGAAAAGTGACATCTTTGCTTTGGGTAAGAAGTGATCTCATTATTGGACTTTCATCAAGGTCTGGCTTTTCACATGACAATTTTGCTAATAACCTTATTCTCCCTTCCTCTCTTAAAGGTGATGAAAATGGAACAGTTGCACTAGTAGACACAAAGAATCCCGATTCTGCCCTCAGCTCCACTGTGCATGCCCGTAGCATCACGGGGTTTGCGTTTTCTGCACATAGGTACAGTCTGATGTGCTGGCATGGAATGTGTGACCACGTACACTTGAAATCCTTATTTATTTTTAGAGTAAAACCTAGGAGAGTACTAGTTTTGGTCTTTTTATCAAGACTGATAGTGAAGAATAGAGGAATTCAAACATCTCACTTTTGACAAGAAGTGTGTGTGTATACATGATAAGACTTTTGTGGTATTCAGCATTCCTGACCCACTTACCATGGGCATTTTCCCAATTGCAGTCACCTCTGCTTGAAGCAGGATCACTTGCTTTCCAACGCTAATAGAATCTTCTCACTTAACGTGCTGGCAACCTGCCAGATGATGATGCTGGGTTAAAAAGATTTGGTGTCTGTAAATTCACTGCACCGGGGTCAGTTTCACTAGGAAACATGCTTTTCACAAGGTTATCCCTAAGAAGCTTTCTTGTATCTGATTGTTCTAACCATGGTCTCATCTCTTTCCTCTAGTTCACCCTTACTGGCTTCCATCAGTGAAGACTGTTCAGTAGCTGTTCTTGACTCAGATCTCTCCGAGGTGTAAGTACTAAACAATGCATTCACTGCTGTAGCTATTTGTCTTGTTGACTTCTCGTTAAACTAATTATTTATCCATGTGCTGAGTGGAAGATGAAAATACTCGTTAAAATAGGGGAACGCCATCCTGACAAACTAGCAGCTAGGAGTTGCACAAGCCCATGAACTCTTGGTGACGATGCTTTACGGCTAACGGAGTGTTCCTGTTTTCCAGGTTCAGAGACCGTTCTCACCGAGACTTCGTAAAAGGCTTATCGTGGTCTCCCTCAGACAATGCCTTGCTCACTACAGTTGGATGGGACCATCAGGTTTTACATCACACTGTCCCCATACCAACTGGTGAAGCTTCTGGAGTCAACTCTGTAAAAGAATAGTTTTATAAACTCATGGTCGAAATTCCCTGCTGGCATTACTTTGATTCTGCTGAAGTCGAAGGTGCGTGCGGACTGGAGTGGGAATGCTCTGTTGTCTGCCTTGTGACTAACAAGGTTCCTGTAGTAATTTTGAATGAGGCATAAGTTAGTTACAAGCCCTTACCCTCTTCTCTGGAGCTGGCTTCACCTGTGCTAAGACTTCAGCATTTTACCCAGAATAAAAAATTGACTTCAGGCACAGAGGAGACTTGGAGAGACAGGGAATTAGGTGTAATTAAGGAAAAAAAAAACCAAACCAAACTATTACGTCCTCAGTGATCCAAACCATCCATGGAATTAATTCTTAGGAGGTTAAAACCACCACTTCTAGTTAGTTGGATCGGGAGAGCCTCACCCTTGAGCAAAGCTCTTTGCTGTGTAAATCAGACTAGAAGGCTCCCACTGGTGTCCTCAGTGCAGCATGTGGTGGTGTAGAGGGTTGGTCCTCGCTCTCTGCTGGTGTGGATCCATGCACTTCTCCCGTTATGGGTGTCGGAATACCCGTCAGTGCTTGGTGTGAGGAGTCTTGCACGCTGTGTGCTAAGGATCCCAGCTCTAGCCCTGTAATTAAACACCTCGGTGCTGGCGTGTGACACGCTGAAATACCGGGGCCTGTGATGCCCGACATCGGCTTGCGGCTGAGGCCAGCTCGGCGGGCTGTTCTGTAGCGTGCTGGAAGCCCAGAGAAGTTAGCAGTTGCTGTGCTCTTTGACACCATGTTTTATCTCCTCTGTGCCGAAGACAACTTACTCAAAGATGTGACCTGTGAACAAATGGTTATGGAAGGGAAAAACTGGACGAAGGACTTCAGTTTCTGTTTGCTTGCTCCTATACACAGACTGCATAGTGATAAATGAGATTCCGTACGAACTGGTGATGAGTGACTTGGCGCCGGAGACTGAGGGCACCCAGCATTCCCGCAGCCCCCAGAACAGACTCCACATAATCCTTAGAGGTGTTTTTTTGTAATATACCACATACTTCAAACTAAACTGTTTCCCTGGAACCTATTTTAAAATGAAAGCAAGCGTTGCTCTGCATGCATTGCCACTGCTCTAGATGTGGCTTGGGCTGGCCTAACATTTCCTTGACAGAATAAAGCAGGTCCTGAATAACGACACAAAAACCCACTATGGAAATCAATTCTACTGTTCCTTTAGCATGATAGTAACACTACAACGTGCACCACTTCCAGTGGGCTTATTCCTGCATAATCACAGACTGGTTTGGGTGGGAAGGGACCTTAAAGTCCACCCAGTCCCACCCCCTGCTATGGGCAGGGACACCACTAGACCAGGTTGCTCCAAGCCTCATCCAGCCTGGCCTCAGACACTCCCAGGGATGGGGCATCCACAGCTTCTCTGGGCAACCTGAGAACATGGTTTAGCTGATCCAGATTATGCAGAGCCCACAATTTTTAGGCAGACTAAACTTTCCCAGGCCCTGTACTTAGACTCTTTAAGCCTTGTTTGCTGCTTTTTAATTCCCCTGTCATACAGTACAGAGCAAGCCTGATCTAGAGCAGCGTATGACAAGGAAAAGGTTATAAAAACTGACAAGTTTCCTCAAAAGGCCCCCTCCAGCAACCACAAAAGTTGCCTGTTGAGGGTGTACTGAGAACTGAACGGGTTATGTGCCGCTTGTGAAAAGGTTGTCTTGGAAAAAGTGGTAAACTTTTTTTTTAAATAAATCCTAGTTTTCCTTTGTAACCGGGGCTGAAGTTTCGCTGGGCCACGTCTGTAGCACTGAAGGGCCAGCTGAGGTCCCTCACAGCTAAAGGGAGGTTGGTGACCACAGTCCCTGAAATTAAAACCATTCTGAAACGCACCGTGTCACTGGTTAATGCTGGGCCGCTGGTGCTCTGCAGCGCTCGCGCGAGGCCGGCTGAGGCCCTGACCACAGTCCCTGAAATTAAAACCGTTCTGAAACACGCACCGTGTCGCTGGTTAATGCTGGGCCACTGGCGGTCTGCAGCGCTCGCGCGAGGCCGGGTGAGGCCTGAGGGTTTCCACTGTGCTGAAAAGGAAAGCTTCAAGTACAAAACCACATTCAAGTCTCCCGTTGCCACCCCGTGAGCAGCACACGACAGTCCACGGCAGAAGGCGCAGCGGTGGAAGGTGAAGCCGAGATGGGCAACAGGACATTATTGATACAATAATCCTGTTCTTTTTCAGCTGGTAGAAGACTTTCAGAGCAGCAGTGCGAAATTCAGCATCGGGCAAATCTGTGGGTGAAGGTTTGCGTGCTGCCAGAGGAGGGCGGCAGCTGCCAGCTGGACAGGGCAGGAGGCAGCATCCCCAAAGCTTTGCGCATTTCTTTATAGAATAGCGACTTTTTTTTTAGCCACAGAAGAGCGACACTTGACCTCAGGATCGCTCGCGCTACCCTACCTTGGCTCCTAGGTGACAGTACTGTGACTAGCAAGGCTGCGGGACGTAGTCGCACAGCAGCCTGGCAGGAACACTGCCCGTACTGCAGCAACGCGTTGGCTGTGCAGCTGTCTGCAAAGGGGTTGGAGAATCCCCCGCGTCTTGAGGCGCGCTCGCTCTGTCTGGGCTAGATGATGCCCGTCAGCTTTGGGGGCACTTGCACCAATACGCTGGCTGGAGGAAAAGCTTGACGATGCACCTTGCAGACCTCCCTCCCAGGGGACCTGGTTCTGCAGGCAGAGCCCGGGTAAAGAGCAGAGAGCACCAACAAGGGTAACACTGAGGAGCGGGGACAAAGCCATGATGAAAAGCCTGCCTTTAATGTTGGTGCCTGCCTTGCTCACGCTGCGTTTTCAACATTAAGGACGGCATTCTAGCTAGGACTTGCCAACAGGCCTGCGAGCTTCGCGACTGATGAAAAGCTCAGGCCCAGGGA